ATCGCTCTGCTTTGTCGGGAGTTCCTGTGACATGGACCTTTGGTAAGGGAGGATGGGGACAGATTTGTAACGGCTGCTGCACCAGGGTATATTTGTGTTGGTTCAAAATATACAATTTAATTCTGTACCTTCACAGTTTTTATGGGATCAGTTCTCTGGAAGCTGAAGAAATTATTGTATCACCCCAATCTAACCTGGATTTGCTTACAGTCTGTCTGACACTTCTTGGCTGGGGTGGGTTTGGAAGAGAAACGAGAGTAGGTTTTGTTTTCACACCCTCTGAAGTTACAGGTTTGGCTGAACCAGGGTTAGATTTACTCGGAGAAGCATTGGCAGTATTAGTGGAGTACTGGAGAAGATCCAGGCTGCTGTGTTTCATAATGAGAACTGAATGCTTTAATTGTCTTAAACTAAGAAATGGCATGCTAATGGCATGAGTCCGGTGTGCCAGCCAGAGGGTGGAAATACAGTGATTTTGCAAAGGAATCCAGGAGATCATGGAGATGCTGGGAGGGCTGGAGCCCCTCTGCTGGGAGGGGGGCTGAGAGAGTTGGGGAGGTTCAGCCTGGAGAAGGCTTTGGGGAGATCTTGGAGCCCCTTCCAGTCCCTAAAGGGGCTCCAGGAAAGCTGGGGAGGGACTCTGCATGAGGGAGGGGAGCCATAGGCTGAAGGGGAAGGGTTTGACCCTGCAAGAGGGGAGATGGAGCTGAGATGTGGGGAAGAACTTGTTTGGTGTGAGGGTGGTGAGAGCCTGGCCCAGGTTGCCCAGAGAAGCTGTGGCTGCCCCATCCCTGGAGGCATGCATGCATCCTGTGTTTTTTCCCAATCCTTAATTTTTTCTCTGCTTTAAAACAGTGAGTATAAGAAATGGCTTTTTCACGTAAGACTGTGCAGAAGGTTGGAAAATGACCCTCTGCGCTGAAGTGTATGTGCACAAATGCATTACCTTTACTATTAATATCTTCCCATATTCTTAATGTACAATGGATTGTTTCCTTTTAAATAAACATGCAGAAACCAGTAAAACAAATACAGGAAGTTTTAAACTATTAAGGAGATGGTGAGAGAACTATAATACTAGTAGGCTGTGTGGGACAGGGGGCCACACTCAGCCCTTGTTTCCAAAACCCCTGTTAAGGGTGTGACTGCGATGGCAACTGTTAATTGCCCTAATTACTGTATTAGATGAGTGATACACTGACCTTGAAACTTCAGGATAGATGGGGTGTTCCTAAACAGTCAACTCTGGTCTGTTCTGCTGACCTTGCAGCCATGGAGTTGATAATGATGGAGGTGGACACCTCTAACTTCTTCATTCTTCTGATGGTTCCTGATTGTTTTTGCTATATTTTGATATATTTGACAAATACTGCTGATGTGATTTGATAAGGATTTTGTTATGAGAAGGGCATCAGTTTACTGGTTTGGGAAGAACAACTGTAGCAAGATGACTGAAATGAAGCAGCAAATTGCCAAACCAGGCCAGGTAACTCTGAAGTATTTCCCTCAAATTTAAATCCAGTGTTTCAAGCTTTCATTGAATTTTAATTCAAGACTTGAATCAATAAAAAGCAGGTTTGAGAAGGCTGCGACACTCAAAAGAAGGACACTTAAAGAGTTCAGGACTGATATTTCTTTCCTGTAATTAGGATGAAGAAGCAACTTCCCTGGCATTTATTGATCATCCTCTCAAACTCAACAAATTCCTCGTATTGCTTTTTGGCAAGTCACTGATATTATATAGCATCGTAGAAACAGGGCAGGTGCTTGAGAATTATAGCTCGTGCTAGTTTCCTAGTGCAAATATGTCAGAATATCAAAGTGATGAGTTTTTAGGATATATTTATGAAGCATAGGAAGTAAATGAACTGGCTGGTACTTGTACCTTGAGTGGGCTGGGCTGCCATCAGTGCTCTCCAAGTGATACTACTCTCAAACTGCTATGATCTTATGGGATAAATGCTTCCCAAAATTCAGCTTTTACAGCTGAGAATCCCTATGATTTGTGCTACTAGAAAGTGTAGTGCTTTTCAGGATACTGTCAGACAATAGACACTTATTTTCAGTTTTTGAAGCCAGCATGTGGTTATGCCCCAGCCCAACATTGGAGCAAGATTGCATGAGAAAACCATCTAGGTGGATTCTTTATTTTTAAACAGTAACTTTCATGGTGCAGAAGAATTTAGTGGAGAATTTTCAAATGTGCAGTGGTGGGTAGTCTAGAAATGGTAGTAATACAACCCTTTCTGGGTTTGAGAAATGGCAAGTGAAATAGGGGAAAGAATTGTAATGCAATTTCATCCCTTTGATAGTATTTACATTATCAGGGAGCTCAGCAATTAACCCTGGCTGTTAATCTGAAAGGATCAAGAGACCCGTTTTTTGGAGGTAACTGTGATGTCTCATTGGTAAGTGCACTTGGGCACTCTTGGTTTAAAAAAAAATAAAATTGTGGTATGTGCAAGGAACTGTTAATCTGAAAGGATCAAGAGACATGTTTTTTGGAGGTAACTGTGATGTCTCATAAGTGCACATGGGCACTCTTGGTTTAAAAAAAATAAAATTGTGGTATGTGCAAGGACACGTTAGTTTAGGTTTAGCAGTTGAATATATTATTTTTGCCTTGATTCTCATTAAAAAAAAAAAATCATGAGGGCTTCCATTGGAAATTCAGCAACATACTATAGCCTGATGGAAATACCCTGTTAAATCAGATGTGGGTGGTGGCAGAGGGGATTATTGTTAATATTTTGATATGGCACAGTAGGTTTGTGGTGTTGCTAAAGCAGAGTGAAGGAAATAGGAAAAGCTGTGGAGGGAGATCCATCAGCGATGGGGCTCTGGCTCCTTCCTGATGGGGAGGATTCGTGTGCTCAATGACACCAAAGGGAAAATGTGTGAAAAGGTGACATCTTTGGTCTCTTTGACCACAGCCTTCGGACAGAACTTGTTTTTAAGACAATTTCTGGTATCCTAAACATGTGTGATGGATGCAGACACATCCATGGGCAGTACTGATGTATTTTTCCAGTGGGAATCTGTGGTTTTCAGGGGTTTAACACTGTACATGGGCTGTGAGATCTTTGAGGAGATCAAAAAAAAGTTGGAAAGTGATGTTCACAAAGGTGTTTTGTGTTATTCCTCCCCATCCATTCGGTACCAGTGATTTGGGGCTGGGTGCTGAAGCGCAGGAGATGCTGTGAGGTTTGCTCTCTCGAGTTGGCTTCTGGAAAATACAAACCTCTTGGGAGAACATGAAGCGTGGAAATGCTTTGCTGTGGATTTTTTTTAACTTGTTGATCCATTTCTCTGCACTTTTTTTGTTTGTCCATTTCCCCCATTATGGATATGAATTGGATTCTAGGGTGTCAGACCAAACTACAACAGAATTTTTTTGGGGGGGTTTAGGAGCAGTAGAACACAGAAAATAATTAATGTGTCTCAGATCAAACTACAACGGAATTTTTTGGGGGCGTTTAGGAGCAGTAGAACACAGAAAATAATTTTGAATTATTTACTGTGATGTGAAAGACCATTGATCTAAATTTAATTAAAATCTGTATTTAATCAAATGGGAGGTATGTTTTAGGACTGAAAATCTTGGCTGCAGCCAGGCTGTTAAACTGAATTACAGTGGGAAGCACAAGAGGTGATGATCCTTATGAGTCATCAGGGTAATGCTGGCTTTTGGGTTCATGGCACCTTGTTTAGGAGATAAAACTCGCTGCTGTTTTTGCATCTGTGTCATCTCAACCCTAAGAAAGCAATTTGAGTGGTGTGTACATGTTGTCCAGTGGGGTTGATGTGTCATTTAGAGGACCTTTGGAGGAGGAGGAGTGCGGTGCCACCGAGGCACGGGCTGCTGCGAAGTCACAGGAGCACGCCTGGAAAATGAGGCTCCTCTGTACAGGACATTAACTCATAAATCATACTAATATTCCCACTGATAAATCATCTGGTGTGAAAACCTTTTGATACTCGTCTGTTATTAATGACAAAAAGGACTGAATTCCGTTGGCTAACAACAGTCTTCCCATTTTCTATGGAGTCTTTAACAGTCTAGTGAGATACAGGCTTCCACACACTCTGCCTGTGGTTTGGTTTCTGTAGCAAAATTCCAAAGCATGGCAAGAAACGATTCATCTCTAAAAGTCCTATTTTGTTTTTTTATCTAATAAACTTGAAAATTATGAGATATTTTGAGACAGCTTTGGAGGGAAGTGGGAAGGAAGTGTGAAGGTGGAGCTCATGCAGTCCCTGATCAAAATTCCTCAAACGATTCATTTACCTGAGCTGGAGGGGAAAAAAAAAGGCAGAAGGTAGTTTATATGGATTTATTGGAATTTTTGCTTTAAGCTGCCGTTCACTTCTGGTTCTCACAGCTTCAGCAAGGGCACTGTGGGGAAGGTGGTGGTGAAAAAAATTTTGCCTGTGTTGGAAGGATGTGGGTGGGAGCAGGTTCCCAGTGTCCACCAGTCTGCAGGAAAGGATGGCGCAGCATTTGGACATTTCAAGCTGGCCGAGTTTAAAGGCCGCTTATTTGCAGTTGAAAACTGTTGCGATGTAAATCTTGGATAAAATTTCACTTTATTTTAAAATAGCAGGAGGATATGGTTATCTTGGTGTTCTCTGGCTCATCTCAGTGTCTGGAGGCAAATGGGGAAAGGGCCCGTTAGTGACTGGGCAGAGGATGGTGCGTGTTGCACGGTCACCTTTGCCTCTGGGACCCAACCCAGCCACACGTGTGTGTGGATGTATATCACACAGCTTCGTTCTTCTATAAAAATAAACCTCCTAAATATTGCTGTCCAATGCATATGATAAACAAGACTGAAAACACTGGTTGTACACGCTCAAGGTTTTCATCTATAAAGCTTAGTTCGACTTGGGGGGAACTCATAGGGTTATTTATAGTTTTCTGTTACTCACTGCATCCTGTGTTTTGTTATAATGAAAAAGCTGTCCTCTTAGCGCTAAGCTGTTATATTCATGGAGTACACGGTACGAGGTTCAGTGCATCTCGTTTAGGGCTGTCACACAAATAAAAATGAAGAATGTGTACTGGTTTTCCACATATGTAAACTTTGGCGTCGCTTTTTTTTACCAAGACTTCTGCAGCGAGGTGCTGCTCCGAAAAAAGCTCACCCACCTTCTTCCCTGGAGGAGGGAAAAGGAAGGGGGGAGAAGCTGGTTGAAAGGGAGAGTTTCTTTGTAATGTCAGCAAACATTTGATTATTTGGCAAAAAGCTGATGTGGATTGTGGTCAAACTAAATAAACCACCAGGAACCTGCAGTTCTTTGCCTGGCACACTGTACAGAACTTCTCCAACCTTTCTGCTGGTTGCTGCATGCCTGGAACTGAGGAACTGCATATGGGCTTCCCAAAAATTCAGGTATTTAAGTTTCCTTTCGCCTTGGTGGGCAAAACTGCCTACTTGATTATTTTTTTCTTCCTTTCTTCACACTGATTATATTACTTGCAGGTGTGACTTTATTTCATAGAACTTAATGCTGAAATTTAATGGAATTTCAAAAGAAATTCCCTTCTTTTGAAGAAATGTTAGCTGTAAGTCATCATGTGTAGATTTTCCTGTTCCCTGGTGCACTCCTAATCAGTTGTTGTGTTCTTCCATCCTTCTCCCAGCTCGTTAATCACTTTGGTGTTCCATCTGATGCTCCATCAGCCTGGCAGCATCCTCCCTTTGCCACGGGTGGACATAGGTGGGGTGGGCTTCAGAGCACTTTGGGGGACAGACTATAAACGTGGGGAAATACTGGGAGAAGTCAGTTTGTGCAATTGGCTGAGTGGAGGCAGTTGGTTCTGAATATTGTAGTAAAAAGGGAATTTTTCAGGTGTAAGGCAAGCTGTAAGTTTGCTGTATGGTCTGAGCGGCTTTGAACACCAAGAAACCTTCTTGGTGTCTTGATGCAAGCAGGGTGGTTCTTGATGGAGGGAACTTGTGCTGCCTTACAGTTTCTTGGATTTGTTTCTTCACATTTTTGTCGAGTTTCACTTGAAAGTTGCTCTTTGGAGCAAAGGCTTTTTTTACCCTGCTCGTACAGCGCCGATGGACGAGGTCTGAACCCGGGGCTCGGTGTCTGGGTGGCTGCAGTGGACATACTTGTGGTGTCCTGTCCTGTTTCTCTCCCAATGATTGTACAAACCAAGCTGTAAACATAACTCAAACATCCACTAAACATTCAGACTGTTTGTTTGGAGTTTTTTTCTAAGCCAAGATTAATTTGACAAGTATGTTATTGTTGGTCTCATATAATACTGAGAAATGCTTGGCATCTGTTTCCAACTACGTCCTATCAGTAATTGTAAAACCAGACTGGTAACAATGGGAATAAAAAATGTTTCCTTTACTAAGGAATGATTGCTTTTTTTATGTATTTTTCCAGCAGACATATTCTATTTGTGTTCTTGCAGTTATTTGCATAACGCTGCTGCTCCGAACCAGTGAATATACTTTGTTGTCACAATAATCCTTTTGAAATCAGTGTCAAAACACATCGGATGTGAGCTGATAAACCAACCATGAAACTGCTATTATTTGAGATTTTTGCTGAGGTCACTGTTCTGCTAGTGAACATGGGTTTTGAGACTCCCATTTAGATGCTGACTCCTTAGGATGGATCGTTTGAAGTTGGAGTTCTGAATGCAAAAGCCATAGTTGAGGGAACTTGAAATATGCTGTTTTCATGCCTTTTTTTAAAATTACTTTTGAAAACTGCTCAAAATACCTTGAGATGAATGTCCCTTGATGAAAATGCATGCAATTAAAGAGGAGTTTTGTTTTTGTGAACAGGTGAATCCCAAAGCAGGCGAGTCTCAGTGCAAGGAGCAGCGTGCGGTTCTGCTTTGCCCCGTGGGGAAGCTCCAGATCTCTGGGTGTGAAATGGGCTTACACGAGATAAAACTCCCCAAAATGAGCGTGCTGCCAAGTCGGTGAGTTCATGTCCTATTGATCCCATGTTTATGTATGTGGTAGAGGAGAGAGATCGCCCTGAGGATCCAAGGCAGGACTACGGGTACTTGTTGTTACTCACCATCCTGGGAAGGCAGTTCGGGCTCCTGTGGGAGGCAGAAGCAGCCTCCAGTGCTTTTAAGGGGTGTTGGCTCCAAAATGTGTTTCTTTTTCTGCTGCCTTGGCAAAGAAATGTTCTAAAATAAAAGTATTTTTAATGTAGGTTTTGCAAGTACATCCTGCCCCCTAATTTCGGACACACGTGTCAATCTGTCACTGAGGAGTAAGACTTCCTTGAGTACTTTGTGAATTGTACAGACCCATCTCTAGATACTTACGTTTTGGAACATAATTGTTCCAGGATTGAATAATTGTTTTAATTACTGCATTCCAGTTGTGAGAATTTTGATTGGTTTTCCATAGCTGTAATGTCTTCTGGACTTCAGAACGGATGATGGAAGTGGAGATGATGTCTTGGGTACAGGACTGGTTGAGGAGGTATCAGTACGTTTCATTGCAGAATATAAGTGCTGTTGGACCTGCTAAAGTTCTGTCCAGGTCTTTGGTCTATGTTTTTTTCCATATTTGTGAGGAAATGCTGAGTGCCATCTTTAGAAGGAACATTGAATTCTTTCAAAATTTCTAGATGCCAAATTTCTTTGTCAAATTTCTCTGCCAAAATTGAAGTTACTAAAACTACTTATTTAAGGCTGGTCTCTTCAGCTTTTCTTTGGTGATAAAATTGCAGCCTTTGCCCCAGCCCGTTACAGCAGAGCTTCATCTGACAAGACTCAATCTCCACCTTGTCCACTTCTCCCCTGTTTTTTCACTTCTGAAATTCTCCATTGATTTGTGGGGTTTCCCCTTTTCTGTTCTCCTATTTTTATCATCGTAATTTAAGTGCATGTAAAAATTAATCAGGAATATGAAGCATAACTTGTATCCTGGTTGAAATATGGTTTTGCCTGTAATACAAACACCCTCAAGCTTCTGGATTTTACTGTTTTGCCAAGTCCAGTGATATGGAAATAAGTATTTGAGTTTCTTCATGTGCTAATTTCAGTACTGGGGTTCTGCTGATGAGGAACAGAAATAAAGCAGTATTTAGGATGAGGCCGAAGCCTGCCTTTGCTGCAGAACTGCATCTGCCTGAAGAACAACTGGCGAGGACTCTTCACCCTTCAGAAGACAAAATGTCAATGGAGTAGTAGGGAAAAGGTCTGTGTGTTCTTGAAGGTGATGAATATGAGAAATTGTGTGGTGTTCTTTAGAATGCTGGGCACCAAGGGAACTGCGTGAAAATAGAAGCTGAAGACAAAGTCATGAAGTTATGGGTCGTAAAAAATACAGGCTCAAAGTGAAATGGCAGATTAAGAGCCTGTAATTATGTTCTTCCAATAATTAGTAGAGACCAAGAAGGTGGATGGGGAGGGATTGTTATAGTGGGTGTGTTTGTGTAGCTCTCCTGGAGAAGAGCAAAGGTCTGTGGTTGAGGTCTGTCTTTAATATGAGGTGTTCTTCAGGCAGACATCGGGCAATTTCGATCCTTTTCCCAATCCTTTAATTTTTAGCTGATGTTGATCTTTCACTTTTTTCAGTTGACTCAATTTCCTGGCCTCCCAGAAGTGTTGTGGCTTTAGTGGCATCTTGGTAACACTTAAATCATGCAATCTGATAAATTATATGCAAAAATTGTTATAGAATGGACTGTTACTCAAGAGTGGTTCACAAGTTAATGGTAAGCAGAATATTCTTAGAATTTCTTTAAGAATTTACATCCAAAAAAGAGGTGGAAGGTAGGACTTGCTTTTGTCTTTACCGATTATAAAGTTCTAAAAATTTTAAAGCCATCTGTAAATGTTTGTGCTGAAGTATAACATTTAATCTCTTCTGCTCATCGCTAGTGAATAGTTGTTAAATCCGGCCTCATTATTTTTGACAGAATAAAATAAAACCAAACCAGGGCCCAGTGTTTCTCCTAACTGGCTAATAAACACTATAGTAAGAACATTGGGTAGGGGAAAAAAAAAAACATAAGAAACATAAAAATTGATTTTAATGGACCCCTGTCAGAGAGAACCATAATGAGCGTGAGTCTAGTAATAAATATTGGTATTCTGCTCCACGGTGCTCGGGACTCTTCATGTAGAATTGCATGTAACAATCAATATAGATTTTAGGGGTTTTTAACAACAAAAATAAGTAAACCTTTGAAATATATAAATACTTAAGACTCGCAATCCGTCAGACAAACCCGCTGGTTGGAGCAGGATCTGATAAGAGTGGCTGGTTAATGGCCTAATCGGTTTGTGGAGATCTCGCTCTATTTTACAGCTTGTAAAACGCTCCGCAATTAATCACCTGAGATTACAACCTCTTCTGTGATGGCTCGCCTTAAAACTTAAGAACACAGACTATAACATAGCCTAAAAGGAGAAGCCACAAAGTAAAATTCAGTTTTCAGTGTGCTTGAAAGAAATTGATCTATTAATGAGATGAAACTAATTGTAATAACCTCAGGTTATTCGGCTCCTTGTGAAGTTTTAAAAGTCAAGGCATGTCACGGCGGAATGGCTTCTGTTTGGGGAGGAGAAAACTTTATTTGTGCTTTTTAAATACGTATGTGTGCATATACATACAATTTTGTGTATATATTTGCATGAAGACTTTCAGCTAAACCTGATTGTGAAAGCTTTAATTCACTGAATGCTAACTGAAATTGTTTCTAACAATTTTCCAATCTCAGTGTGGCACTAACAATTGGCTGAGTTAAAACAGTAACTTGAAATCACCTATTTCTATTTCAGTGTTTAAATTGAAGATTAACTTATTTGTTGGTGTTGTCTGTTAACGAAGTGCTGTAGGTAGAGCCAGAGTAGATGATCTCCGTATCAGAATAGCTCTGGAATGATCAAATTCTTTGCGTTTGATCCTGTATTGCTTCAGGCGTGTAAAGTGGGGCAAAACGTATACCAAAGATGAAGCTTGATTTTTGTAAACCTCTGCTTCTAAGAACTTCAGATTCAGGGTTCACATTGTCAAAAAAAGAACTAACATTATATATATCCTCTAAATATATCTGTATATATATGTATTTAATACTCAATCAGCTGTTGTAGCTTTTATTTCAGTGTATACAAGTGTAAGGATTAGTTTTGATCAAGAAGGTTCTCTTTCCTCCAATATTCCTGCCTGAAATATGGCAAATGCTTAACGGTGAAAATGTGCTTTTCCCTGGTGTTGTAGGAATACCCCAGACTTCCCTTTATGCTCCCTGCAGAAGAGGGATTCTTCTGGAAGCGGCGTGATCCCGTCTGCCCTCTGTATTTCTTGCAAGCTATTCGCAATTTTCTTTATCATGTTTCATTTCCCTGTGTCTTCCTCAGATCAGAGGAGGATGAGGAGCACTAAGTTTGGCCATTCTTATATTATTAATCCCCCTAAACCTTTATGGGGGAGTCTGTGGCTCAAGAAGGTCACCAGGGTTTCAGTCAGTCTCTCTCCACCAGTTTAACGTGATCAGAAACTCTCCAGAATCTCAGTTTAAACAGGTTTCCAGCTCTTAGGGATTCAGAGGGAATCTCAAGCGTGTGGAAGCACAGGGGGTGGGAGCCTGGTGAGAGCCTGGAACAATAACTTGGGGAGGCACGAACCACTCTGTTCATCTCCGAGGTATTTAATCATCGCCAGCGATGATGGTTTAAATGTCAACTTTGCTAACTGTTTCATTCCTCATACTGTAAAATTTACGGTGAGTGATATCTCACTTCGATGCCACAAGTGGGAGGCGTTTGGGAGGGTGCCACTCCTCCTGTTTTTCCAATAAGCATCAGCCAAGGCTAAGAAACTTCGTGGAGCTCAGGGGCCTGCTAAAATCCAAGCAGAGGAGGTGGGTGTGTGACTGCTCTGCTCACCTGCTTTGAATAGATCTCTGGTTTACCCTGAGCATCCGATGGGACTTAGGAGGAGTTTGTCCAGATTGGTTGTGGCTGCCTCATCCCTGGAGGGGTTCAAGGCCAGGTTGGAGGGGGCTCTGAGCAACCTGGTGGGGTGGGAGGTGTCCCTGCCCAGGGCAGGGGGTGGCACTGGATGATCTTTAAAGTCCCTTCCAACCCAAACAATTCTATGATTCTATGAGAACAGAGTTATTGGTGATGTAGTTTGGAAGAGGTGTCACTCTTCCCCCATTGAGTTCTTCCTTCAGATTGTTGTTTAATGGTGGAGATTTTATAATTAAAATGGTACAGGATAAAACCTGTTGCAATAAGTTATTGGTGATGTGGTTTGGAGGAAGTGTCACCCTTCCCCCATTGAGTTCTTCCTTCAAATTGTTGTGTAATGGTGGAGATTTTATAATGAAAATGGTACAGGATAAAACCTGTTGCAATAAAGAATTTAATGGGTTTTGGGGTGGTCTCTAAATGTAGAGCCAGGAGGGTGGGAAAAGGTGTTCTAGAGACCTGTTTGAAATTTAAGCTACAGGTAGTGTAGACTCTAAAGACGCCAGGTAATTTCTTGAGGAAAGATGTGGTGGGTTTAGTGGAACCAAACCATTCGGTTGTGTTCTTCTGCAGAGCCTGAAGTTTCCTCTGTTTAACGTGGGCAACCATTTATTTTTTTATAAATAAAGGTATATTACTGATTATTTCAAAGACAAGACCATGTGGGAAACCATTATTTTTGTATAAATCTATATTACTGATTATTTCAAAGACAAGACCACTGTCCATATGGAGTCATCCTGTGGTCCACGCAGTCATAGACCTTAAGGAAATTAACATTAAAAAAACCTTCCGCTTTTTTGAAAACGGTTTATTTCTGGTTGGTTTTCTCAGCCAGTGCTGTAGCAGAGTTTGTCCTCTGTGAGGTCGTAGCCTGGCTCCCGAAGGGGAGGATGTTAAAACACCCCGAGTGGACAAGTCCAGATGCATCACTCCTCCTGCCAGCGGGAGCAGAGCACTTACTCCTGCAAACACCATAA